TGTACAGGTACAAGCACCCAGTGATAAATGTAAACACACTGTATATCTAAAACGTACCAATAAAATTAAGGAAAAAAAAGGTACTGATGTCTGAAAAGTACTAGTAAGATCGCAGGTGTCACTGCTAAATCAATAAACAATGGCATCGTTTGAGGACGCTGACAAGCATGCGCTGGGGGCTCCCAGGGAAGAACACCCAGTCTCGAAACACACAGCCCACTAGTGGGCGTGGCTCTACTGGAGTCAGATGGAATCTGGCAGTCTCATTCTTCCCGTTTTATTTTTTTTCAGGATGCTTTTGAGTAGAAATTATATTTTCATTAAATGGTAGAGATCCAATCATATGATTTTTTAAAATATTCTTCATAGACTTACAGGTCCTCTGGTCACTCAGTATTTATTCAGTAGTTCTCCAGCATGGGCTGGAGCTTGGGACTGAAGGGCAGTCCCGATGTGCCCTGCCGTGCATGGAGGACAGTACTGCAGAGCCGGCACTGCGGGCTCCCCGAGGCAGGAGGCGGGGTTCACACTCCAGGGAGCCCTGGAGTTCCCAGTCTGAGGAACTGGAATTTGGGGTTGGAGCACTGCAGGGTGTGCACAGACAGAAGAAAGGGGGCAAAGACAACAACAGAGGGGCAGTCGGTACGCAGAGCTGTTCAGTGTGTGAAACCTAGCGCAGAGGCGAAGGCACTGTCACCCTAAGGCCAATCTGTGACCCCTGCTCCACACTGCCTGCCCAGCCCTGCGCAGCCCATGGCCGGCAGCACAGCACGAGCTGCTGTGCTCCTGTGAACTTCGTGAAGACAGGCGGCCCCAGCCTGCCAGCCCAGAGATCCCGAGACGGGTGTAAAGTGCAAATCATCCTGCGGACAGCCGGCCGGGGCAGCGCATCAGGAACAGGGACTTCACAGATGACCACTGCTGCGCAGGTACAGCGCAGAGGCGGACCGGGATCAGGAAGTGGAGTCAGGAGGGACTGGGGAAGTGGGGACACAACCAGGGGCCCCGCAGTTTAGGTGCCCCAGGGGGCGGCTGGGGCTGGGACAAAGCAGGGGAGCATAACACTGCTGTCTGATTCCCTGACGCAACAAACAGAGCTTCCAAAGAGAAGGCACATCAAAGATGCTACATCTGAGGCACACTGAGGAGATGTCCCTAGGTGTCTGCGGATGTCTAACACTGAGCTGCGCAGTGAAGAGTCTGCAAGGAGACACCTGGGGGCTCTGTGTGAAAAGGCAGCGGGCCCTGGGCCTCTTCCCAGTGTCCGGCACCCTGTTGGGCACCGACTGCCCTTCCAACATGTAGGCAGCATGCAGATGGGTGGCTCATGGCGTGAAGAGAAGACATCCAGGCAGGCTTGCTCAGGGGAGTGCTCAGAAGAGCAAAGGCAGCTCACAGAAGGCCTGGGAAGGGCAGCCGCAGGGGACAGAAAGCCAGAGCAGGTGCCCTCCAGCGCTAGGAGGATGGTTCCCCAGAGCGCAGTGCTCTGTTTTGTCCATGGGGAAAGGAAGAGCCTTGCATAGAACAGAGCTTTCGCTTTGTCAGCTGCATCTTCTCAAAGTGCTACACAGACTTCTTGTTTCTATGCAGTACTAGGATTCAGAAATTTGCTTAGGCCAATATAACAGCGTAACTTTGAATGACTCTCATGAACCCTATCTTCAGTCTCAGAGTAATTTCTTTGGAAAGTATAAACGTGAAAAGTAATATAAATATTCTGCATCTATTTTCTTAATTAATTTAGCCTAGATTTATATGAAATATATTTATTTGAATACTATAAGTATCTGCTGGGTACTAGGGGCTCAAAAGCTGAGGAAAGAAAAAGAACTCTTGGGTTACTGAATAGTTTCAAATAATTACAAGAAATTAGAGCTGGGATAAAAGATGTATATTAGGGATAGGGGCAGAAAATTACACGAGAGATAGATAGAGTAGGAGGAGAAAAATTATATGACTATGAAAAATTATAGGAGGCAGTATCACTCATGAAAATAACTTTCCCCAGAAAGCTATGTTAGAGTATAAACAAAAATCAATCATGAAGCTAAAACACTGCGTACATGTGTATAAGTATGCATTTGTGTTTGCACATATCTGTGTATAACTATGGGTGTGCATGCATGTGAGCTCTGTAAGTGGAATATTATATATATGCCCACAAGTGCAAAAACACAATTCTTCATTACTATTGGAGGTACTAAAAGTTCCACAGAGCAAGGCTGCGTCTGCCTTGCTCAACACTGTGTTCTGAAGTTAGCACAGCGCTTAGCACAGCACAACTGCTAAGTATTTGACGAAGAAATGAATAAAAGAACAGGATAATGTAAAGTTTTAAAGTCATTGTTCCTCTTGGTTCCATAATTAGGCACTGAATCAAAATAGGGTGGTCAAGCCTGATTCAGAACTTCTGTTGAAAGACTTCCCCAACCATATGAATTATAAAAAAGACAAACAAGACGAAACCAACCTTGGGGCTATGAATGTGTAGCCAGATTCCTCAAAGTTATCTGGTTTCAGGGTTTCTGAATCTGCAAAGATAACGATACAGGATTAGATACACAACACAGAGCGCAATGTTCCAAGATCTGATGACTATAAAAGGCATTAGAAAGACTACCTACTAAGAAAAATGGGACTACTTACATCCTAAAGTTGAGTCAAGCCAGAAACTAGGAATATCCTCAATGCTTTCGAATATAATAAATCATATGAAGTAACTTCATTATATTATTACAACAGATATACCAGAAAAAATGCTCTCTCTATTCTTCCTATTTGCTAAGGCAAACTATACCCAAAAAGCTTTAAAAAGAAACTTTGTTACATCAAGTATTTTATTTAGAATATCAATAGGAATGCCTAGTAATATTATGATAAAATAATTTGAATATACTCATGAATGCACTTAATGAATTAATAACATTCATCATATTATGTATGAATTAGTAGGTGGAAGGATAAAACAGACATGGCTTTATATCTAACAAAAGAAAGCTTGCATGTGAAACAGGTTGCAATGTGCAATGTATCTTCCTCCCCCAGTACTTGAGGCTAAGGCTTGAGTGACCATGGAGGAAATCTAGCAAATGAGAAGCACAGAGGATAATATCCAGTAGGAATGGAAATACCTGGAGATGTCGAGTGTACTACATAGAAAGAAATTGAGCAACAAGAAAATACTTGCCCTTCATTTTTCCCTTTTTTGCTGTGAAAATCCATCAGAAAGAGAAAGCAGGGAAACAAAAAAAAAAGAGGGTAAAGCAAAAGGGGTCACAAACAATACTTTATTCAATGCTTTCTTGAATAAAAATATTGTGCATAGATCAAAGGTTCACTTATGTACTGCTGCAGTCCGGAAAAACACAGAATTCTGAAGGCTGGAAAGTATGTCCTTTTTCTGGATTACCCTTTCTGTACTGTGTTATCTCAAGGGCCTGTGCAAAGTGGTTAATGCAGGTGCAATACAAACGCTGGCAGCCCATTAACAGAAGCACTTACCAATCATCAAAGCCTCACTACTCATCCCTTTGTTTATTAAGTGAAGAGCTAGCTCATGCAATACTGTGTTTGGTTAAAAGACCATCATATCTATTAATGCAAGTGCAAATATAAAGTTATTAGACACCACGATATCCTACAAAAAGGCCTGCAGAGAGCAGAAGAGAACTGACAGAGAGGTGCAGGAAATTATAGTTTCCTTAAAATTACATGTGATACATAATTGTATTAACATATATTAAAAATAATTACATATTGATATATAGCTTTTATTTGTTCTTTGTTATTAATGATTAAACAGTGTGGAAAGGATATGATGGTCATTTTACTTTACTAAATCTAGCGACCCCCCCCAAAAAATAAAGATTAACAAGGACTTGAAATATGCATAGTGTTAAGAGTTATTCCACATTCCAAATGATGCTTAAAGAAAAAAAAAACTAATCCATTGGAGTTACTGAGACATTAATTTGGACTATGGAAAGAGTTAAATGCCAAGCACAATATTATTCTGGCCAAGTGCAAAAACAAAGCAAAGTGAAAGGAAAGATAAGAAAAGGAAAAGCTTTACTAGCACAGGGCCATGAGAGGAGAGCATGTAGATAGCATGTGGAACATTTCAGGCAGCCAGAGGACCCTTCAGCGACAGCCACGGAGGACACGCCACTGCAATGATTCCAGGCGCACATAGCAAGGCGGGGGGGCGGGGGGGCTGCTGAGACTGCAGCACCTGCTCATATTCTATCCAAGTAGAATATTTCTTGTTCCTTGCATGTTTGGAATGGGTTAGAATCATTGCTGTAGATTTGGTGGTCGCACTCACTAAAACCTACTAAAATGGCTTGCATATTCCAAAATCTAGACGTATTTCAACATCGGAGGCTAGGAGATTGTAACAAATAGACCCTGAAGTTGCTTTCACAGTACTTACATCTGGCCTGAGTTATTGTCTCCTCTATTTTGGCTTTTATATAGTAAAAACTGTAGGTTGGTAATACCAAGGCCAAACTGCAATAGAAACAAGAGAAGCATAAACACAAACAAACAAAAGTGAAACGTAACTTAAAAAAAAGGACACATCAGGTTCATGGGAAAATCCAAAGATCTTCCTCATGGGGGGAAAGACATATTACTTTGACAAGAAAATGCATTCAGCAAAAAGATTACTTAATTACTCTCTCCCTTCCCCGCAAGTGACCCAGCTCTCTGTATGGCAGGAAATCAAGAGGCAGGTGGAAAATTAGCTACCAAACATGCCCATGAGTTAGTTGAGGAAGGAGGGTCATGAGGTCCCTTCTACCTTGCCAGAAAATTATATTAAAATACTTTGAATTTTAAAATGTTAAAAATATCCCTCATGTTTTTCAAAAATAAACAGACCACTTGGATATTGTCTCACGAATGTATTGTATGGTACTAGAATACTTTGTATTCTACAGACACAATTAAAAATCACCAATGGGAGAATCATGACTATTACTATTGCACAGTGCACAAAGTCGTGTGAAATGCCTACTATTTTAAAACTGTGAGCCTTGGGTCAGTTGGAGAGTGCCCACTCACAGGTCCATGCAGTGGCTTTTGGGCACTACAGAGACTGCCCCTTGAGATCATGGAGCCATGCCAGTCTCCAAAGATGTCCCAACCAGAGACATCTCAGCACAAGTCTTGGGCCAAATTCCAAGCACTTTGGACACAAAGAATGTCAAACAAGCACTTCATCACACTTCATTTTGTGAAGGCTCAAAATAGAAAGGTATCGTGGAGGTAACCTTACTCATTTTGAAATCATGATTAATGCGATGTATCTAAAAGTGTGCTGGTGTTTTACAACTGTTAACAGACTCGGATTACGCATTCCCCAATAGCACTCACGCTGCCTTACATGCACACTCGTGCCCTTAGATGCTCTCAATACTGAAGGAGACTTGTGAGCTACAGGTGCAAAAAGCATCAAACCAACTCTCTTAACCAATAAACTACTTTCTAAACAAAGTCCTTGATAAGATGACCGATTAAGTTATCCAAATTACACTTTCCACATTTACTCCAAATGTTAGTGGTACAGAGGTCTGTGTGCTTCTAGGGTCCCAGGCATTGTGTGGGGTGCAGGGGCATTTACAGATTCATTCAATCACCTGGGTCTCAGGTTACCCTCAGCTTGGGGATTGAAATCCAAACTATAATCTCATCACATGTTATTTATGGACAATGTAGAATAAGACAAAATATGAAATTTCAGACTTTGCTTCTCCTGAATATAAATGTTAAAAGTTCACTATATGGAGAAGGGGCATCAAGAGTTTAGTTGCTGGAGTTTATGCAGTAAAGATGGCAAAATGAGTGGTTGCATGTTACCTCTGAGTCCCAAATCCTTTGGCATCACAAATTCATAGACTTTACCAATACAGAAAGGTCAGGGAAATAAAATGTAATGTAGACTCAATGAAAATTTCTATACTCATTTTATAGGTGGCTTCAAGTGGAGGCAGAGATTAAAGTTAAAATGAGCAGCACAGTCCGTATGAAAATGAGATGACCTTTCAGGATTCACTTGCCATTTATAAAATGTGGGGCAGAATTACTGAGCATTTGAAGATGGGCTCCTAAAAATTCCTCTCTGGGAAATTAGGGCATTTTTATTGCTACATCAGCATTTATTGCTAAGAGAAACCCTAATTATAACCAATAACATTATGTCACGTGACTGCTACATCTCAGACAGTGCACAAAAATAGTGCGACAACCCGGGAGGACCACCACAGAGGTCTTAAGGTGGCCAAGCAAATGTGAGTTCTGTGGGCCTGCAGGACTAATGCTGCTCTTCATAGCTGTGATCCATTCTACAGGAAATGACAGGTGTGATGATGTCCAACTCAGTTATGTCTTCTATATATTGACACGTAAGTTCTCTAGCAATACCCAGAGTTGACAGTGCTATCACATGCAGTGTTTGCTGTTTCTGGCTGAATAAAACCAGCAGACTAAGAGTGCTGTATTTCCTCTTACAGATTAAATCTTAATAAAGCGAGTGACCATCAGACGGATGGCAGAGCTCATGCAATGTTTATGTGACTCATAGAACCATGATTAACTGAGTTAAACATGCTGTAACAAACCTCTAAGCTCAGTCATTTATTCCATCAAAGTAAACTCTTCATTTAAAACAGAGAAAAAATTCTATTAAAATAATTACTCTATTTCAAAATATGGTACTAAACTGGATCAAGGTTACAATTTGGTATCGCGTTCCTTAAATCAAAACATATTTTATTTTCTTCAACTTAGAAGCAACACTTTGCTCTAAATCGTTATTTGTGAATGCATTGGTCCAGAGATTCAGGGAAGTTTTTAATGGTGGAAGGAGATTTAATCTGACCCCTAAGTTCGAAGTTGGGAAGAGAATGCCTGAGAAAACCATGCAGAAATGAGGGCGCTGGTGAGATGCTGTGTCATGGATGCAGCAGAAATGACAGGCAGAAAGGCCAGGGGGGACATGTGATGTGCTTATCCACCCAGAAGTCCATGAGGAATGCTCCAGGAATGGAGACTGATGCTGTATTTGAGCAAAGAACAGTCACCCACCCACATGTGACTTATTTCCGGGTGTGTGAAGGGGAGAGGCTGCCAGCAGAGGCCATGTGTGAGACAGCTGCACATTCCAGTAGCACACGACAGTTCCCACCAGTGGGCTCAGAACTGCAGTGGACTCAGCCCTCATCGCTGATGCCCTAGCAAGGTCAAAAGAAGGCTGCATTTCTATCAGAATTTGTTCATCTGGGCAAGGGCTCCCAGCATCTCGTGTTTATGATGAAATTGTCTCTTGGGAGAGAGGGCTCCCAGATGTCCTCTCTTCACACTTTGGAAACAAGCGACCTGTGCACATACACAAAGACTGTGTACATCTTAGGTAAAATGCTGGAAGCATGAAGATAAGAGTCAGTGGATGGAAATAAGTAAAATAATTGAATCAGTCGTTATGATGTTTCTCAAGAAGTCTTACAATATGTCAAGAACTGAGAAAATGCCTGGTGCATTGGAAAGCCAGCGCTCTGGGAGACTGAGACCAGAGGACCACAAGTTTGGGTCCAACCTGGGAAACTGCCGAACTTAGCAAGACCCGGTCTTAGTGAAAAACAAACAAAAGGGTTGGGGATGCAGGTCAGTGGAGAGATCTTGGGTTCAATTCCCAGTATTGAAAAACAAAAACAAAACAAAACACAAACAGAAAATGTGAGCAAGGACAGCGCATGGTACAGAAAGACACCAATACTCGTGCCCCCCTCCTTCTCTCCTGCTTTACTTCTCGGGAACCCAGGGAGGCAGGCTCCTGAAGCAATAGCACTGCAGCTCTGGGGCTATGCTAGCACTCTAGGGGCTCTTCAAAGGTCCCGTGTATGTTCTGGGGAAGAAATGGAAATAGAAAGGAAAGAGTAGGAAAAGAAACGGGCCACCACAGCCTATGGATTAGGGTAGGTATAAGAGTGTAGAAATACTATTCAGAGACCACCATACTTGAGTAGTGCAATAGAAAATGTGGGCATTATTACAGGACATGACTCTACAGGATGCAAAGGATTGTACATTTCTTTAAAAAGGCTGCAAGTTGAAATTCATCAATTGTTTATACATTTGTAGAGTGCCTGCTAAGCGACACTGTCTTATAAGCTCAGGGTTGAGAAATAAGTCAAGCAGGCCACACTCTGACCTCTGAGAGCCTGCTAGAGAGAGGGGAGGAAAGTCTCCAGGTGGAAGGGCACTGGTGGCTGCAGAGCAACAAGGAGATGCTCATCCAGTGAGCAAGGAGGATCTGAGCGACGAACACAGACAGCTGAGCTGACAGCAGGTGTGAGCCATTGATGGCTGTGGCAGACTTTGGCTTTCACTGACCAAGAGGAAATGACTCCAGGGGTGAGGAGGAAGAAACAGTGTCATTGCAGGGCCAGGATCCTCCTTTCTACGTGTGAAGAGCAGAAAGAGACAGAAGGCAGAGGTCCAGGTACGAGTTATGTATGTGTTGGTGTAGCAGTTCTCTCTGACCACTTCTCTCTGAAATGGAAGCAGGCATCACCAAGGGAAGGGATAGAACTCCGTGCAGGTGTGCAAAATCTGTGCAAAATCTGCAAAATCTAATCCTGGGCTGGAGATTTAGCTCAGTGGTTCCACCACCTGCTTTGCAAGTGCAAGGGCCCGAGTTTGATCCTCGGTACCAAAAAAAAAAAAATTGTGAGATCTTGACTTCACTGCAGGACTGAGATGCCTAGGCAGCACCAGGGCACACTTGAGGCTGAGTTCTGGAATTTTAAGTGATATTTGAGTTAATCAGTGTTCTTCTTTGGTTGCTTTCAGTGTGGTGCTGCTAACCATTTGAACTTAACGGGGTTTAGCATTTTGCTCAGTGTGGTTTTCTGAAGGCAGGAGAGACTTGCCCAGGTGAGTCGTGCTGAGCAAAGACAGGCACGTGGAATGAAGAGGGAGAGGAATGGGAACATAGACGGGCTGGCAACTTTCATATCTCATGTGAGTCAAAGGATTGTTGCTGTCAGGCGGGGTGAGAGGCCAGGGAAAGCTAATATGCGGTAACCTGAGAGGTGGATGAAGAATCTCCAATTGAGAATATAAAGACGGCTCAGATTACACTGGGAGAGTTACAGACCATGACTTAGGAGGAGGTGGCTAAGATACTGGGATAACAAGATCGGCAGAGAAAAGGTCATCAAAAAACAGGAGGTAGATATGGAAAGTCAGCTATGTCAATACTTAAGTGTGGCCCATGGACCGTGCCCATTTGGAAACTATTCGTAGCGCCCCCTCCAGGCCACCATGAAAAATGCAGAAATTGAGAGTAGGCACTTAAGAGATTTTTACAATAATTTGACAAACTTACTTTATGCTAGTGGAATCTAATAACATTTTTTGAGCTTTTGATTTTAATCTTTCAAAATTTATTTTAAGAAATAATTTTTTGTTTTATTTCCCAGCAGCATGGGTATGTCATAAATAAGTAGAGGGACACTGATCTATGTGCATGCAGGAGAGAGTGACAATGAGCCAGACTTCTGGAACTGAGAGAGGGGTGACCATTCATGAGGGGGAACAGGGGCCGTGAAGTCTGGGGACATGCGATTCCAAGACAGAAGTGTCTGAGACGAAGAGAGAGGGTGTCTAACAAGAAGACCACAGTCACATAAGCTTCAGTGTTACAAAGACACAGGAAGAGGACCACAGTGAAAGCCCTGAGCTCGGAGGAGAGTGAAGCAAGAGCACAAAGGAAATGCTCAGCGAATGTGAAGACACAGGGTGACTTCCAGGACCTCACTGGCAGTGGGCTGGCCAGTTTCCCCGGGCTTGCTGGGCGGGCATCTCCCAGACATCAGCTAACAGTTTACTAACAGATGCCACCAGAAGAAAGAAGCTTTGCTGTTAGGCTAATTCACAACATAAAGACAATAATGTAAACTAAATGACAGCTTAAAATAGGAAGTCAGCGGAAGTTTTAACTGTAAATTATAGTTATGGGGATTTCGCCTAGGTTCAGGACTAGTGTATGCTGTTATATATCATATTTTCATTTCCAAATTCTATACTGATAGACTTCCCATCTTTTTCATTCTGAAAATCAGACTCCATAACTGCAATATATTTTTATGTCGGAGAGAGTTGTTTTTCTATTGAAAATTGCCTAAGACTAAGCAGGTAACGTTCACCACTGGAGACATGGCTCCTAGACCTTAACGTGCATGTAAGTATGGCTGGTTGGTTACCTGTAGTCTGTCCCATTGACTGGGGTCCACGTGTAGGTCCTGTTGCCTTTGTCAATGTATCTCTAGAAGAAAGTTTGACAGATTCATTATCCCCTCATTTCTCTGTGAATTTACATCAAGAGCACTAGCAGCTACTTACTAATGTGGTGAACAGTACAGTACCTTTCTCCTCAAATGTCTGATATATTCCATCCTACATTTATTTATTTTGTTATGAGTGTGCATAGCAAACTTTAGGACAGAATATATACCCAAATAATGAAATTTAGTGACACATGAGTGTAAAACATTAACTGATAGTATTCCAAATCGATAGTACTTATTTTAAAGTAGTACCCTTAAAACTTTGAGAACATTTCCTGAGAAACACATTTTAATAATGAAATAGGACTATGAAATATTAGACAAGGCTCAGATATTTTCATCAAGTACATTTAAGAGTAATTAAGCATGTCAGGAAGTGAATGCAGTCAGTGTGCCTAGATGCAAATATACGACTAGGTTAGCACTGTTATGACTAAAGTACTACTAAGGCATCCTAAGGGGTAATGACTCAGTGTCCCTGAAGTTAGGAAAATACCTAACTCCACTATGGAAAGGAAGTATGGAGTTAAATTACATCATGGACCTAGAATCCTTCATATGAGGCTCCCAAACAATAGTAAAAACACGCTCATGTTCTCCTCCCCTGGGCACAGTGACAGCACACCTGCAACTCATCACATTCACAGTCGCCTTCAGTGTCATCATGCCCACCACAGCAATGGCCTTTATTGTATGTAAGCTGGTGTCAGATACTCCACTACATACTTTAGTCCCTTCTCATTTAGTCGAACCCTTAGAGTAGATATGATTTCCCATAACTTATTGATGAAAAAATAGGAAAAGGATATTAGGTACATAAAATTTCAAGGTAAAGAAAAATGTCTGATGACAAATTCATTTTTATAAAAATGACACAAGGCTGCTTGTGAACGTGAAGCTCCCTATGACTGTGGGTAGTGTGAGGAGGATTGGTGAGGTGGTATTGGACTACTAAAATTCCTTAAAGAATTAAAGTGCCAATGTTTCTATATTTCTGGTAGTCACAAAACATATGGCAAATTAGCATTGTTCAACAAGTTATAAAAAATGATCAAAATAGCATCAGATACGAGATCACTTTTGCAATATTAGCAGCAGAAATGATCACATCATCAGTTTTTAATTTGTAATAAAACAGCCATATAGACAATTTCAAACATGGTTAATACCTGGTTTTTTAGTTAAATCTATTTTCCAACTTCCTACGAAGCTTGAAGATATCCTCAAACTAGCTTCTTGAGGAAATTTTTATAGTTGTAAGTACATTTATCCCCAACATTTTAAGTAAACTCCTACATGAAACAGTAGAAATACATTCTAGTTTTAAGCTCAAGCACATTGTTATAAACACTGGATTACTGATGGGGTATATGTAATGAAAACAAACTATTTTCAGATTTGGGCAAATAAGATTCACTTAGCATACATTTAAGCAGAATTTTTAAAATTGTTTTAAACTTGTTTTCAGTAGTAACTCCATAAAAATATCATTAAGAAAATGGGAATTTGCATTTATCCACTAAATTTGTGACACATATCATTTCTCATGTATTCCACAGATTCACTTTTTTGCTGAAAAATTTGATTACTGAAAGACCTGACTATAAAAAAGTTTACAGGTTAATTTGAGACAGGCTTTTGTAAAAAGGTATTCGGTACAGTCAGATGTGAGACTGAGCTCTATGGGAAGCATTTCAGGATTGAGAAATTTCAAATTTCAGGCAACTCATTAGGTCTAACATTGGGAAATGTGCTAACTTTGGCCTTTCCTATCTCACAGATAGGGAAAGAACATGATTTCCTGCAACAAAAAATAATGAACTTCACAAACCATGTCTGACCTTGACATATAGAACTGAAACACTGAATAAGATTAAGCCAAATAGCACTGTAATTTGAAGGCATTACACCTTAAACTGCCAAACTCCATACCTAGAAAAGATAAACATCCAAATAATGTGTAAGTACAATATTGTAATTGTTTTGAATTTTAGAAAATAATTGATAAAGACTGAAATGTATGTGTAGCTCTTCTTATGTTTTGGTAATAGGTAGAGTGGTAGCTCGGTTCACAGACTTAATTCTTTCCACCATTCTGGTCATGAACCGAACTTGCTGAGAACTGAATCAAATTTCCCCATAAGGTCAACATTAAACCTGACCATGGAATTTGTGTTCTAACGATATTAAAGTGAGAAAAGCCACCTGCTAATGGACCATCACGTTTGTATCCTATGTCCCTTTTAGGAAGGGTCTACTGAGGAATTCACAAGAAAAGCATGCCTCGAAATAGGGTGGTAATTCAAGGGAAGGATATAAGGAATGGCATTTATAAAATCTTAAATTTCCAGGCTCAAAAGCTTCTGAATCTTACATTCTTGTAAACATTAAATATGTGAATGTCTGCTTTTACTCTGCAGGTGGCTAGTCATCGATAGACATGTTCCCCAAAGAACCTTTACAAACAGGGACCCAGTTTATTATACAAACCAGTGATTAGTGGAGCTGGCTGTGTTATCAGATGATTCAGTTTCAGATTTAAATGTGGGAAAATTATAAGGTGTATAAACATTAAAGAAGATAAGTCAAACCAGAATAAAATAAACAAAAAATAAATACAAAGACAAAATAGTACTTGAAACACAATGATTAGAATATAAATGTATATCATGTAACACATACAGTTATTAAATATTAACCTCAATTTTTCATTATTGCTATTGTCTAAAATATGGCATAAAATTACACTGTATAATCAATTTCTTATAATGATAATACACACATGATATAACTTTCAAGAATAATTTTTAAAAATATGTGGTTTATGAAATAATTCATCAAGAAACCTAAAGCATTAGTTTTATAAAAATAAAAAAGTTAAAAATACCTTAGTGAAAAAAACCCAAAAACCAAAAAACAAAAAAAATCAAAAGTTTGCCGGGGATTTAGCTCAGTGGTTCTGCCACCTGCCTTGTAAGCTCAAGGACCCGAGTTCGATCCCCAGTACCAAAAAAACAAAAAATAAAAAACAAACAAACAAACAAAAATACCTTAGTGAAAAATTTTTAAAGTTTCTTACTGGCTTAAAAATAAAGAAAAATTGGGCAGGGGATTTAGCTCAGTGGTTCTGCCACCTGGCTCGCAAACTCAAGGTCCTGAGTTCGATCCCTGATGACAAAAAAAAAGAAAGAAAGAAAAAGAAAAATTGTTCACTAAAAATATCTCTTTTTAAAGTAAATACTGGCTTAGCAGACAGAAAAGACAAATTACCAATATCATTTACCCTTAGCACATACTTTTATAATGAGAATAAGCATGAATTAATTCTTACCTCATCTTGAGATTTTACTAGAGTTCTGAAAGTTTTTTCTCCACTTTCTCCGTCTATCATTTTATTTCGAATCTAAAGAAAAATGAAATAATTACTTTATCCCAGGAGCCAAATTCCCCTTCTAAAGTGTGATAACTGATGTCATCATTATTCAAAGGTTTTCCTTCCTTACTTTAAACACATTGAATAAGAACAGAGGGTTGGTTTTACCATCATTTGTAGTTGTTTCCTAAGAATTTATTTTAAGTTGCCTCATTATAATTTATCTTACATTATTTTTAAAATATTAAAAACATTCTTAATAAACTTTTTAACCAGTCACTGATTTTTGAATATAATTAGTAAAAATTATTTAACTTATACACTGGCTACATTTAAGTGAAATGTAATCACTGAGAAATAGAAATGTACATGTATTTACAGAATTAGCATACAGTATGGAATACTTCAAATTTCTACCTCACTCAAATAATCAGTTTCATGAGAGGGATGTTTTTAAGACTAGCCTTTATACATTTTAGTTTTCATTTGTCCTATTTAGCAGCAGAAGAATGGAATAAGTGGAAATTATAATGAGCTACTAGGACTTAATACAACATAGCTTACAATTTCCCAAATCTTAAAAATAAGTAGGGTCACATTTATCACAAAATATTCCAGCCTGCTGGAATTTCTCAGAATTTTCCTTATTTTCCATTGTATATTCCTCAATTGGTGACTTAAATTTGGCTTTTAGTAACCACAGATGCTAAGTAAACACACTTGAGGTGAGGCAAGAATCAATTTAAAATAGAAGAACGCATGTCCTAATTTAGTTAAAATATTTGGGGGCTGAACATGGAGGGCAGATAACCACTTTTTATGTAAGTTGGGTGGCCACTTATGAGACGCTCAAAAACAGTAAGATGTGACCTGTTCCTATATATCGTTTCCTTCTATCTCGATCTAAACTGAGGGGAAACTGGCTTTGAGAGGCTGATTGACCTCCTTATGGTGCCCAGTGGAGGCCCGTCTCCTCAACACTTCATCCTCTTTTATCATGTCACACACTTTACAACAGATATTCATTAACCACCTAAAACACCACAGAACTATGCCACAACTCAGGGTACTTGGAATAAGTAATCAAATTCTGTGGTTGCACAATGAGAGAATAAATGTGCAAAATGCGCAAATCATGTAGAAATTAAAATACAGTGTGACAAATTATAAAAGAAATTCAGTAGCCTTTGCATAAATAAAAGGAAGTGATTCATCGGGAAAAATACTACAAGTCTGCGCCTGGGTGAGGATATTTTTAAAGATGAAGAACAGCCGTGTTTGTGTGTGCACGACTGAGAGACACCTAAAGTGATGAGGCCACCGGACAGACTTAGAGAATGGAAGGATCCAGTCCTCCCACCTCAGGGATTGTTTACCCCTCAACACACTCACCTCCACTTTTATATCATTCTCCAGCTCTGCATCCAGGAAGTCCAAAGTGACTGGTTCCTGAGATTTGGGGTTCTGCACAGAAGAAAGCAATAAGTATGTATCACATTATTGAGTGATGCTGGGCACAGAATGATTTAACTGATATTTAAATAGGAAATTAATTCTGTAATAATTACTTACCAAGGATACATTAATTGTATAAAGATATCATCACATGTACACACATATATATACACACACATATACATACATACATATATATATACATTGATATATATATATATACGACACTAGGTAGCTAGAGCTAGAAATTGAGCTTTAAGTGCAGCAAATATTAACTAAGCACCAATTGACAAAATCTCAATTCAAATGCTGTCTTAGACACTGCATTTATAGTCCCAAGTTCTATGGGGGTGGGAATGGGAGGACCCACTTATAACTTTTCTTTAAGCAGCGTGACAGAAGAGTCAAATAAAACAACGTGATAATAAACCAAAGGCAACATATAAGCATACAAGTTGTGGATTCAATAAAGAAATTACATAAGGAAAATACTTTTAGAATTATGTTTGGGTATTTTAAAAAGTAAAACGAACTTTTTTGAGACCTGTGCTTCCCTCTGAAAACATAAAAGGTAAAGAAAGAAACAAGCCTGTTTCAAACATTTGAATCTCAGAAATGTTATATTTTAATGATTCAAACTAATTCAAAATTCTGTATTCTATACAATAAAATTTGTGATCAAGCGATAAGCAGTGGAATAAAAATTAGGTTGTAATTAATGTCTAAATAGATCTGTAAGCCCTGGGGAAAATCAGCTCCCACTTCGATACCCCCTGTTTCTTCTGGTTAGAACATGAACATAATAATAAAGTTCACTGTGGAACAAGATCAACTATTTAGAGTTGTATCAAGTGATACTATTAGCTCAGCAAATTTGTCCCATATGATATACTTTAATTTCTCAATCAGAAAATGAAGATGCACTGAACCAATTGAAAAATGAACAAATGCATTTTAAAACTTGCTAAAGTAATGAAATATGTCATACTAGAAATTCAAAGTTCACTAGAATAAAAATCACAGTACATATGTCATTTTCCAAATGCAAATTGTTAGAAACTAGATGTTATAATGTTTATCAAAATAAATATTACCCAAATCTGACAATTACATAGCAGTGATAAATGCAAAACTATGGTGGATAAGGGCCAGGTTCACTGGAATTTTATTAATAATAGCCCCAAAATGTCCAGATCGTCAATATTTCCCACACCATTTCAGGAAAACAGACTTCCCAAGATAGTAGCAATAGCTAAAGACATACTGAAATTGAGCACACACTATTTGGATATGGAATGACTTAGTACATACGGCATGTATTTATTTTATAATTACAGCACAATGCCTTCCTTCAAGGAGTACCTCCATTTAAGTAATCAGAACTTTTAATTCTCATGGGTTTTCATGAATCTTAAAGCCAATTAAAATTAATCTTCCTTGTCTTTTAAAATTAAAAAATACCACTTGTCTTTTTAAATTAAAATAGCCTATTACTACAGTCAGAAGAATCTATCGTACTGAAAGTATTAGATTTTTTCAAAGGTAAAAACACTGATCCTTCAAAGAAAGGGTCATGTAGACAAAAATATTATTTTGAATAGAGCATGTTTCATGAGAAAACACAGGCCACTATTGAAAATCCTATAAATCCTTCATTTATAAAATGAAACCTAGAAAGTTTCTATTGATAGGTCAGTTTATGTTTCAGAATTTTTTATTTAAAGTCTCATAAAATAAACTATTTCACACAAACAGCATCACATCAGCATTAAAAATTTAATAACCAATGCAAAACAAAGTCAAAATAACCCAAATGATAAGATAACTACTGAAATAAGAATGTTTGTCTTACATGCAATGGACAACGCATAGCATGACCAGACCCAAACAGCATGCAGGGAAGAGACAATATCAGGAGGGTTTGGGAATATGAAGATCATGTCCCGGTCCAGCATACAAAGACGCAGAGAGGAGAATGAAATCAGGGAAGTGCAAAGCGAGGCACAAGTTGTATTTTAAATGGCAACCCAGCTGACTGCTTTTCATAAAGGGCATGGGCACTGAAAAATTAAAAACCAGGCTAAGAAAAGAAACTATCTGGTACCTAGTTCCTGGAGGCTCAGTATGTTTTCTGGGTTTTTAAAATTCCTTTTTAAAATTTCTTCAATAATTTTAATTTTTCATTTTTTAGTACTGCAGGATTGTAGCACCTAACGATGACCTTCCTTGAGGGGAGCTGGTGCACAGACACATGTAGCAATGCTTCTGTCACCCACTTCTTCCCCTCCTCCTGCCTCCCTCCATTGCTTGGTCCCTTGCCTTTTGCAAAAGACCTCTCTATTTCCGATCTTTTATTTTGCTCTTTGCTTTCATTTTGGGTTTCTTTTATTAGAGAAATGTGATATTTAAGCTTGTGTTAGGATTTATTTAATTTAACATTTTGTTCTCAGTGTGCATCCATTTTCCCACAAGTGACTCAAGTTAATCTTTCTTTATGCAGAGTAGTACTCCGTTGCTTACACTGCATATAATACACATTCTTTATCCAATTTTAAGCATCCAACATTCCTTATTACAAATTTTGGATAGCAACGGACATAATGATGCGATCATTTGTTCAAATAAGAGGCAAAAATACAATGATAAAGTTTAGATTTGAAATAATTAAGTCAGTATCATTGTAACAGTTAATACTTCAAAAATATTCCCCAAACTGAGAAGTCTTATGTGGTTGCTAGTTTGCCATTTGGGGTTTCCTTAGAATGAAAACAAAAATAAAACAAAGCATTATTTGTGTTGTTTATTTTTTAATTATATCATAACTTTACATGCAATATTTAAAGTTGCTGCAAAAATAAATCACTAAAATGCACATTACTGTAAAAAAGTGTAATTTAAGATAATGCATAAAAGAAACATGCATGCAGAGTAACAAAATTTTAATATCTTAAGAAGGGTATACACGTGATTTTAATATCTACAGGAGTCATAAAAGACCCAAAGGCCTTCACATGCAACAACAGGAAATTCAGATTTTCACAGAGGTCCTGAGCTGGAAGGGGTTCAATGCGTCTTCTAGTTTGGGGTCTTGGTACTTCAGGAAACCCTCTGAGCTTTAGCAATGATTAGAAGCTAAATTAAACTAAAATGTACAGGAGATAGGGCCTGAGATTAGCATACATATTTCCAGATGCAGGGAGAGTGAACAGGTAGCTCACTTCCGCTTTCAAGAGGAAGACACCAGTATACTGTACTCGTGGGTTTTGTGACTGGCTCAAGGCTCAAGGATACTGAGTCTGCTGCCAGTAGGAAAGAACCAGAATTCCGGCCTTCCATCTCTGCTTTGCATTGTACCCCTCCGTACTATAATGTCATCAACAGGAAACAGTAGGTTTACATAGAAAATCTTAAATATTGTTAAACTGCCTTAGAAACTCTGAAATTATTTACAAAGTTGTAGAAAGTATCCTTTATGCTGATTTGTACCTACAGAAATAGGAATACACATAATAACTTTTACATTTTGTTGCCAATGGAGAAAAGGTTTTGCAATGAGTATGTCAGGAAGTAAAAATTCATAGCATTTGTTTGCTATTTTGAACAATTTAAATTTTCTGTACAGACATTTATCTAACTTCTAAACTTCAATTACACTTGCAGAAATTCAAAGAAATTTTGGCATAAAATGTCTAACTTATGGAAGTTAACACATTGAAATTGAACTTTTACATGCACTTAGGAGGCAATTTTACCAGCAAATGGTTAGAATCACAGATTGACATTAATTTCATGATATGTAATTTCTTTTTTAGAAGCCATCTCATTATGATTACTCTGGTTGTTAAGATTATTACAAAATTTACTCAGCAATCTGTAGCTAGCTAGGGCATACCCTCTCCCATCATTAATACAGTTTTGGTTCAGTTTATCAAGAACCAAAGCTAATTTTTGTCTCATGCTCTGGAAGCTTGGAGTCAGGAGAGGCAGCTCTAATCGTAAGCTTTAAGAGCAGAAGCTTGTTCTAAATTCTGATTTAGCAAATTTGAAAGCATTGTCACGTCCACCCTTGTTCAGTTACCTGCACATTGGGTCTTCTTTGTCTTACGTTAACTGTTGGTTTCCCTACACCAATAGGCTGAAGCAACAGAGAAACGGGAATTCATCACACTACTTATCCACACAGGGGAGGGTTCCATAGTGTAACCAGTCTGGGCCTCAGACATTTCTTGATCAGAAACAGATATAACTAATATACTTAGCATTCAAAGTATTTGGTACCACATAAAGTTCATGATGAATAAATTTTGTTAAAAATGAAAAGTTTACAAATATTTTTAGTGAATAAAAATTGGTATGCTAGTAAAAATCTTTGAGACACGATTGTTATTATTTTGTATTTTTCCTGGAATTATGTTGTCTCAAATAAAACTTCCTCTTTATTAAAAGAGAGAGAGGCAGGGAGAGGGGGAGGGGGAGGGGAGGGTTAGTGCCACACCAACAAAATGAAAATCAAAACTAAAATCAAACCGGGCCAGAGATTTAGCTCAGTGGTTTCGCCGCCTGCTGCGCAAGCGCAAGGACCCCAGTTCAATCCTGGGTACCAAAAAAAAAAAGAAAAGAAAAAAAAATCAAACAAAGAACAAGCCGGAGAGAGACCCTTGGGCCCCTCCCGGTCCACCCATGAGGTCAGAGTGAGATGCTCTCTGCTCTGTGCCTCCGGGGACCAGGCCGACCTTGCAGGGAGCTTGCCAGCCTGAGAGCTGGGAGAGAGAAGTTCTTGTTGTTTATAAACCACCGCCCTGTTCTTTTTATGTCTGTTTGTTGTTTTTGTCATAGCAGCCTAGATTACAGAATTATGATAGAACATTAAAAAATCTTAGACATCAAAATTTGTTCCTCTGCGTTCTGCAAAGATATCAAATGTTGTGTCTATTGAACTAATGGACAAATTCTACCATAGCACTGTAGATTTATTTTAATGTCCCCCAAAACAGATTACACATAATTCCCTATTCAATAAATATATTTGTCAGAATTGGTCAAAATGAAATAGCTAGTAAATAGACCTGGGAAAAGGGGAAGAAATATAAAATGCATTTTGATATAAACCAGTAAACAAATGCCACATTATTGAAAATGCAGGCAATAGTATGATTCCTTAGAAAGGTACATATGTAAGAAGTTCATAGTGACTTCATTTCCTGATATTCTGGGCTTTTTAAAGGCACTTGTGCTACCTTACACAAAACACAACAGTGTAATAAAATATTTTGAAATAAGATTATAATATCAGGGAGAAAATATAAGATATTGAGCAAGGAATACATACTTGCATAACACTATATTTTTACCTCATCAAATAATAATGAGCACGATAGATGTAGCTTTATTTTCTTTCATTTTTATTGATGAATTATTAATGAAAGAATAATTCTGTTAGCATAGCATCTGCTACTATATTGACTCTTTGTATTTGACAACTTCTCAGTCAGCTTGTATCATCTTTTTGTAAGGTTCTTGTATAAATCTGTATAGCATGTAGTTTTACCCATAAAATAGGAATCACAGTATTTATTATGTTAAGGATGAAAATTCATGAACAAATTTCAGGAAAATATAGCACATTATTACACAAATGTTTTTTCTTTTGGTAATTTTCAGACAGTATTTTTTGAAATGTCCTTCTGTTGCATACTTCTTTTAATAAAATCTACACTAAATTACGAAATGCTAATTTCACCTAGCCTTTCATGAACATTTCTACAAAATTTATATTTTCTTTGTGATTTTATGAAGTTGGTGAATTGATTATTCCAAATATGAGTGAAATATATATTAACATCATTCAAACAGTAATAAGATACTATATGTATGTCATTAGGAAAAGCTGAATGGGGAAAACCTTTTTCAAATTATTACCTCTTTTTCGCCATGAAAACAATCTAAACTGCTGTTACCACTAGATGATGGATTTATATATCTTCCTAATACATATATTTCTGTCATTATTAATTTTTGTCTATATTTTAGTTCCTTTAGGGGAAGGTTAAAGTCTACAATCAGAAAAGTAGGGATCTTTTGCACATTTCAACACATTTTCATTGCTTTTAGATTACTTAGCAGGATATAATTTAAAATACTTTGAACATACAAAGACCAAAAATAATGCAAAAATGTAAGCCTTCTTTAATATTTAAAGATATAAATGTTTTCAATTACAGCATAAATTCCAGGACAATTACTTGGCCATAAACAACTATATTAAGAGGAATTTAACATGACTTGCTTTTCAGAACTGTGATAGTCTAATAACATGAGAAGTAGCTAGCGTACCTTTCTATGAAAGTAATATATTTAAAAATAATGGGAGGATGATCACCAGCTACAGTTGCTGAGCTGATCTTTATACCCTTATGGACTGTAAGTGAAAAAAAGTTCAAAAGTAGGAAAAATTAAAATAGGGAAGTTAATTATAATGTCTAATCTTATTTAGCATATATTAAAATAACATACTTTATTTAATATAGTTTTATACTTAGTATTGGTGGCTCTTAATTGTTTTGGGGGTTTTTTTGATACTGGGGATCAAACTCACGACCTTGTGCTTGCAAGGCAGCTAAATCCTCAGCCCTAGTGGCTCTTAATTCTTGATCTGAACAACACTTAAATGCCACAAGGTCACGAGTGTGTGTGTGTGTGTGTGTGTGTGTGCGCGCGCGCGCGCACTTCTGTGCTAATGCATGGGCTTGGCATAAGGAAGTCTGCATGGTTTAATGTATCTTCAAAGTTAAACAAGAACATAAAGGCCGGGGATTTAGCTCAGTGGTTCCACTGCCTGCCTCACAAGTGCAAGGACCGGAGTTCGATCCCTGGTACCAAAAAAACCCCAAAAAACAAAAACAAAAAAGAACATAAAGATGTTTATAAAATTGCAATTATATAGGATTTTGTCTGATTTTACAACTAGCTAAATAAGTTTTGTCATTAATGCCTTGTCAAGCGCTAATGAAAAGTGAAAGGAGTTGCACGAGACATTTTCTGGAAACATTTCGTAACTTTGGAAAACAGGCATAAAGGTGAAGGTAACATGGCTGATCTGAGGGATTTTATGACTTCCAGATTAACCCACGGAGTAAAAACACGGTCCCAGTCTGAAGCTCACCACCCGGTTCCTGCCTACTGAACTTGGTACACATCTCTCCAAGCCTGCCCGGAAGGGGGAAGAAACCCTGGGAGAGGAGAGCAGAGAGGACTGGAAGAGATGCGCACCGGAGGATGCAACCACAGCCAAGGACTGTGGCCAGTGCTCACCAGGGTCTCCCGCAGCTGTAACCAAATCTGCAAGTGGGATTTATGAAGACGAGGGCCAGGAGGTAAGACTGGCAGTCTCTGCAGAAAGATTACTAACTCAGCTAATTGCCTTGAAAAAAATGAAAACCTTTTTCACGTCTTTATTTATCATCAGCTGTAACCTTGTCATTAAGGAAAGGAACCACAGTGCAGACTATTCTGTTGTATGTAATGCCATAAAGTGAATCTTAAAATGACAATCCCAATAAGCACATGAACCACTAATGATACAAAATACTAATCATGGTAAACACATACCTTTGGCTGAAGATTTGGATGCAGCAACACATAACCATTAGGATCAATTGCAAAATAATAGCCATTGGGGCATAGCTGAAAAAAATCAAAAAGCATTTATAGACATCCTGAGTCACAATAAGAAATGCATCTGTTCTTTAAAAAAATCTTTTGATAAATTATTTATTAAAAACATTTTATAGCATGCAACATGGGAGCTCTACATTTTATTGGTAATGATTTGGGGGTTTTTTTGGTATTGGGGATCGAACTCGGGAACTTGCACTTGTGAGGCATGCAGCTCTACATTTTATTTTAAGGACATTTTTAAACATTTAGTTTTTTGTTAAAGTAACTGCACGTAATTTCTTAGAATTACTTAAATGCCTTATGGACAAGCTAAAGTAGTCCACAGTTCGAAACTAGGAAGGCTATCGGAAGAGTAATTGCATCTTACCGTGAAGCGTGGTGTCAGTCTCTTAATGTCTTCCAAAGAGACATCGACACCCATCACACCAAGAATCAGCTGGTTCTATAAAAGATGGCAAAAGTTAATGCATTTTATACCACAGTTTATCTGTTTCTGCACAATTATTGTATATGTTTATCACTTTACTACAGTAATGGTTACAGCCCATAGTAGCTTAAATAATTACATGAAGATGAGGCACATTTGCTGTCAGTTAAAGGATTCTTGGGTTTGTTTTCCTCAATTTTATCATCATTATTGTTTAGCTTACATGAAATCTTGATGACTGTGTTTAAATATAAGACATATATAGTGTGAGCCCAGACTGGGCAGCCTAGCTACCTAGTGAAACTCTATCTCAATATAAAAATTCTGAACACATATGAGAAGGATTTAGACAACTATCCCTTCCTGAGCTCCAATATTTAGAACTCAGATATATTTAACAATGGCAATAGTCCCCAGGTAGAAATAACTAATGTTTTATATGGCTATATTATTAAAATAAATAATTCAATTGAGATTTATAACTGAATGAACAATGCTTAAGCACAATGGACTTCATTAAACCATAAACTAGAAATAAATATCCCCTCAAGTCGGAAGTATCACCTATATTATAAAGTAAGTGTTTAGTATGAAAAAAATACAACTTCTGCAGTCTCTCATTTGGAATCAAGCTAAGAAATAGGAATGCAGTCCTGTGTTTAAATCAAAAGTACTAAACAAATAAAAAAGTAAGTACAAGATATTTTGTAATAATGATTCAGAATGTTCAAGAGGCAGCATTTTATTTCACAGATAGTACTACCAGAGCTACAGAAATCAAGTGTTTTAATGAAACTCATTAAGTATTTTTCCTGTATCTTACAAAATAGGAAAAAATACTACACATCAGACCCGTAAGTTACAGGGTTACTTAAAAAATCTACTGTTTGGGAGTCAGAAGAGTAAGGATTCAATAAGTATATCTGTGTACATCTGCTACAAATAGCACTATGTGGTCTTCTGATATTTTTCTGAACTCCATGAATGTTTCAAATGGATTTTTAAAATGTGCACACAATATTGTTGTCCATTTGTCATGTAATTACTCCCACGTCTGCCTTGTGCTCTCAGGGGGCACAGTTAGGCGACTCTGCTGGGGACCGGGTGCTAGGCCCATCCTCTTTCCCAGGGCCTCTGGGTATGCAGCGGTGGCCACAGGCCTCCAGCTGAAAGACAGGTGGCCTGTGCACATTTCCTCACAGAAATATCTTCTCCACATTGAGTTTCAATGTCCCAGTTTATCATTTACTGTTATTAATTTGATCAATTAACTTTTAACCTTTAAATTTGTCTCATTTTCAGACTGGCCGGTTCTGTTGAAGACCGGAAGAGTTCCAGTAATGACGAGTCCCAGTTCCTAAAAATAGATGCAGAGAAAAGACAAATGAGCTACAGTTTCAACTCTGCCCTGTTGCACTGGCCTCTGATATCTAACGCTTTAAGTTATAATTACTTTATAAAGAACCACTAAAATAGCAACAAATTTTAATATCTATTAGTTTATTTTTTTAAAAAATCACTAAAAAGTCTTGAAGTCAATAAAACTTGTTATGCAACTATTTAAGAATGCAATGTTTAAAATAATATTCTAAATGAGAATTACAAATAAATAAAAATAATTAACTTACACAAACAACACATAGCCTCTCATTTTTTCAGTAATTCTACCCAATCCTACCTTTTTTTTTTTTTCAGTGACAGTTCACTTATGATCATGGTCCTCCACATTCATAATGGTATTCATATAATTTTAAATGATTTATTCCTTTTTTGTGGCTTAATTCTTAAGTTTTTTGATCCTATACCAAAATTTTCATGCTATAGCAGAAATGGGTAGTTGAATAACATAAATAGAAACATACTATTGATACTGTATTTCTAGAATATTCTAGATAAATACTTGTCATTTAAAAGAAGCAATATTACTTCTAAGTATTCCCCCAAAGTAAACAATACTTTGTGATACAGTAAAATAACACAGAAAGAACTGAAGATATTGAACAGGAAATCCTAGTTCTAGACACTTTAACGTAACAAATATAATGCCATTCTATTATTCATTATGTAGATAAATTCATATATTAAATGAATCCATGGAGATTAGTATTACCAGCTGATTTTATATTCCTGTCATCTGTGGCCAGAGTGTGTGTGTGTGTGTGTGTGTGTGTGTGTGTGTATGCATTATTATTTCATGTCAAACATTTTCAACAAAATAATTTCTTAAGCAAATAGCAAATTTGCCAAATTGGCAAAATATTTAGTAATTTTTCAGGAAAACATTCTTAAACCAAATTGTCATCAACTCTGTTTTGATTCTAAAAACAGCATAGTCTTATGAAGAAAATTTCCTTAAAAGGCTGTGGTTCATAATTGTGCCCATGGTAATCTCCAAAATAATGGGAACTAAGTTAGAGACTAGGGACAATCACAAAAAAGCTTCCAGGAACATAAGGCAAAATTATTTTATGTAAAGAAAATGAAGGAACCACTACAAGTAGTTGATAGGCAGGTGCATTATGCTGTACATATTAGCTTTCCATTTAGTTTTAAGGGGAGGTTAATGAAAATATCCTTAATCACACAAATTAATATTCTCAGTAAAAACCTTCTACCTCAATAACTTCAGGATAGAAACTAATTTTTAGATTAATTTCTAAAGCTAATATTTGAAAGATAATTCAGTGAAGATTACTTTGGAGAGATTCCAATTTAAATTATAATTTATTTGTGCATTTTAAAAATTTCACCATGATAAAATCAAGATGTATATGGACATAGTCTTTTTCTTTGCATTGCTTTTGCATTTGTACAAAATACCATGACAGGCTTCTTATAAAATGATCCTATGCATCCTAAAATGAGATCCTAGGTTACTAACATTAGATTTCAGACCATTGCAGAACTCAGCTTCCATGCCCTCCTCATTCATCAAGAGGACCAGAAGAGGAATATTCTGTTCCCAGACACTGTGCACAACTTTAGAAAATTAAACAAGAAACAGATACCTTTTCTGCCCCTAAGATTTCATTTTTATGTACTAGAGCTCAACTCTTTTCATAAAATTTTTATATATATTTTACTTACTTTTCTCCCAAATAAATTGATAACCTCCACAATATTTTCCTAATCTTGTTTCAGGCCTTGTGTCCTATTATCCCAAAAGGTGATCATAGTATTATTCCTTCTCTACACGCAAATTTTAATTTAGAGCTCACGCCATCAATTACAGAGAACTGACTTGTACTCACATGTGTAGCTAAAATGTCAAAAATTTTAAATCATTCCTCTCTCTCTCTACCTCAAATATATGATTTCTTTCCTTTGTAAAGCCAGAGCTCTTTGAATTTTCCATATTATATTTATTACATTTTGTCCTGAAATATACCTTTTTATTTTAACAAAACTGTTTATTTGACAGCATGTGCTGTATGCAGTATGTATTTGATTATAAAAATAACTTAAATACATGATGGGTCACACCATTCTCAAATCAATAAAAAGAATTACACTGTTCCTACTGAATATCCAAATTGTGTGCCCCTTATTTTATATGTAGTTCCAGCTTGTAAAATGGACATTTCCTAATGTCATTTCTGCTATCAGGAAGAACCTTGCCAGCAGTGCAGATATTCTGGTTAATGAACTCTTGGTCATAGGAAACACAACAGGCCATGATTATCGACTCCCCTAATATACACTGTCCTGTGACAGATTTGGAGGGGTGAAACACTGTGGCCATAGATTTAGATGACCATGTGACCTTAAGTAAATAAGTGACATCGAGAAGGAACACTGGGCAGGCATTATAGCTAAGACTCGAGGTAAGTGAGCGTGCCTTTATCTTACATAGCATGCAAGGCTGCTGGTAATAGTGCCTATTTTCTTCTAACTTCCTGTACATGTTTATTTTTTAAGAAGCAAATGATAAGTAATCCTAAACGGATTTCACTCTGCCCTTTGGGTTCATCACTACATTTAGAACAGAAATAAGGACACACAACTGGATTCCAAGTAGGGAAGAGGGTATTTTTGAATCAGCATTTACTTTTCAGGGCTTAGTGTTTTGGCTTTCTCCAATATGTGATTTCAGTAAACTGTTAAGAAAGCCTTCAAATTAGGATTGAGCATATGGATAAATATTAGCTGATGTACTTATCTATTACTTTTGCATCAGGAAAACAAAAATAATATCAACACAACTTTGGGCTTCCTAAGGTCTTGGCTGGGCCACGTTTTGTTGTGGGTGAGGGACAGTGTTGTTTGGGCACTGCAGGATATTTAGGAGGCCAGGGGTGCTCCTACAAGCTGCAAGCCCTAGCCCTGGGCCAGGACAGTCAGAAATGTCTACAGACATTTTCAGACAAGGGAAAGTCTCCCAGCTAAGAACTGCTGCTTTGGAGTATGATGGGCACCAGTACTAATACACCAACAGTGCAGTGGACAATTCAACACACGGCTGTTATCACACACCACAACCAGTCAGCTCAAAGTCATACTTCCATAAAGATCTCCAGGATTGAATTGAAAGCAGGGATTTTATATGAAGAAGTGATTAGGTTTGTGCTGATTCCAGGGCAGGGTGAGATTTTTGTTTGTCTAACTGAATATACTTCTGAATTTTGGTGAATCTGCCTACAGTTGTGCAGGTCATACATATTTCTATTAGCTGACATCTACTTGAAAAATACTTCCTTCCAAATTCTTGAAGGAATAGGTTTTCTTCCACATTTCTTTTGGCTTTATTCTTTTACATTAAAAATTCAAAATGTTACTGAAGTGCTGAAAATTCATGATTCTATGTTAGAAATTCTACATTCTCAGTAGATCAAATGCAAAATAACACTGTATGTTTGTGGTTCTCTATTTCACACAAATCTAGGATTTTAATCAATTCTCTAAATTCTAGCAAAGAAGTCTGTGAGCAAAGAATTTTAGGAAGGGCTCCCTGAAGATTAAAGGAGAAATTCATCTAGGAAAAAGTCACTCTGCAGACTCTCCAGCTCAGTATCCCAAGCTCTTACCAGCGCATCCAAGTACACATTTGTCCACTGGACTTTTCTAGCTTTTTCTCCCGCTAAAACCATCGGTCTTCCTAGTACGTCCAGATATTCCTATTTGTACAAGAAGGAAAAGTTACGGTTTAAAACTGGGGATGCTGTGTGTTTAAAAAAACTTCCAAAGGAAAAAAGTAATCTAGCGTTAAACAGGAATATGGAAGCAAACTCCTGAGAGAGTGAACATATAATCCCTAAATTCTACTTTGGGCATTCCATAAGTGGTATTCCACATACCCTGAATCACCAATATATGGTTTATTTATACAATATATTGATTCCAGTTTTTTCCTAGTAACAAGCAGAACTCCCAGTGCTAAGTGAACTATGTTCCTTACGAATATCTTCATGTTGATATAAACTATTGAGGATCTGTGATTTACTGTGAGAAACTGAACAAATTGGAAATAATAAAGCAGCCACCCTCTTGGTTTCCTATCACAGACTTTTTGGCTGAAATTCCAAACTACATTTAATCATATCAAAAATAACTGAAATACTGTGTCCAGTCTTGACATCAGACTCAACTGCAGCGCTGTTTCGTCTCAGCATTCAATGCACTTGGCGTTCATTTCCACAAAGGCCAGGCTACCTCTGCTAGACTGTGACTTTGTCTATCTTGTAGATTCTTAGCTATGTTTAGAATTAACCAACACTTTTAAATAGTAATTTATGGATACTGTAGAGTAGTATATATTCAAATTAACTTAATTACTGAATTCTGCAAAATTTACTTAATACACTTGCTTTCCACTAAACGTTAGAGAATCACCTCCTTGAAACTCCTCTTTAAACAAGTCAATAGATTTGCAGTGATTACCCATACTGAGTAGACGCTTATAAATTTGTCCAGAATAATGACTGCTTAGGATTCCATATGATTAAGAACTCGTTTACATGATTTGTAACAATCAGGTTCGAATTGCCTTAGACTGTTCGTCAATATGATTTTACTCATTTCTCATGCTGTTTTTAACATCTCATGCTGTTTTTAACATACTCAATTTAACCGTGAATTTTGGATGCTTGGAAATACTGGGAATCTTAATAAGACCAGTATGTTACCATGATATGCATGATTTTAATACTCCTAATATTATGGACCTTTCTTTTCATTTTCAGCTGCTTTCAGCACACTGAACATATTTAAATTATAAAAGAAACATTTTGAATTTTGAAAAATAATTTAAGTAAGATTTAACTAACCATACCTGAGTATTAATCCTTATTGCTCCAATGGATGGAATTTCATAATAATAACCTGAAATACACATACATTATAAATATGGATATTACATCATAATGAAGAACCACAAAAATTGCTTTATGATTTGTAGGGAAAAAGGATATTCTTTTCACTTCTACATTGAGCAAAAATGAAAGTATAAATACAAATGATGAATTCAGAAAATGTTTCATTAACAAATATTCACAACTGTATAAATATTTTGAAATAAATAGAACTATATTTCTTAGATAGTATAAAATATCCTCTACTACAAAGTAGTAGGAAAACTAGCATCATTGAAATAGTTTTTCACCAGAGAATTATAAAAGATGCAGAAAGATATACAATTATAATATGCATATAAAATATATTTCTAGGGCCGGGGACTTAGTTCAGTGGTTTCGCCGCCTGCTGCACAAGCGCAAGTCCCCAAGTTCGATCTCAAGTACCAAAAAAAATATATATATATATGTGTATATTTCTAACTTTCAGAATATATTCAGGTTCCTCTTGTTTCTGTGGTTTCACAGTTTATTTTCCAAACACTATAATTTTTCTAAGTACAAAGGAAATATGGGCACTGCATGAAATTTAAATTATCTAGGAATGTATGAGACATTTTTCAAAAAAACAGTAATTCAGTCAGAGAAAAAAACGTACACGTGCCACACTGTCATACATAAATTATGTAAAATTCAGGTATTCTTTCATTTCTAATTTTCCATATGAAATTATATCCATTATGTATGTTTAACATTCAATATAATGTATTTTTTTTGAGTTTAAAATATTATGATCAGCAGATGACTGCAATTTTTATAATGGAATATTAATGTCAAGTTTTTGAGGTTTGTTTTCTCTACAGAAGCATCTTCAGAACTGTGTTGTTGCTTCAGTTCTGACAAAATGATCGACAACTTCGCATTATGTTAAATGGGACATGTGCCTAACAACAGTGGGCAGGAGAGTTTTCCTCCAATAAAACACAGCGAGGAAGCAGCTCACCTTTGTTTTCGCAGGCCATCCACTGGATGGGTCCTCGGTCGTAGTTGTGCTGACCCACGGAAAATGTGAACACGCGAACCTGTGTGAGGTGGAAACACAGGCTGATGACAATGCAATCAAAGAGCAAAACAGCAAAATCGATACATTAAATAAAAGCAAATTTTTCATGAGGAGAAAGTCTGAGTTCAGTAAAGAGTTCAGGGAAGCCCTGGAGAGAGACCGCACACCTGCTCCAAGCACCGATTTAAACCTGCCCCAGGTGCCAACTATAAACGAGCACCGCAGGGCCTGCACCACGGCCCGGACTCGGCCAAGTGGGCCGAGGCTGCAGACGGAAGAGGCGGCTTCCAGCTCCATTTCCCCTTCATCTTCCTCCCCTGCACTTGGCCGGGCACCCACACACCGGCCACTGCTGGGGGCACCTCCCCTGTACCATGGGTAAACTGTGATGACATGGATACAAAAAGGTCATCGTAGTTTAGTTCCCTAGGGCAATGTGGTAAGTTTTGCTGCTTTTGCACCATGGGCATATTGAATATGGACCCATATCACTGCGATGTTAGTATATTTCTTTCTAGAAAAGCTGGCTGGCATAGATGCGTGTTTTAAGCTCCCAGCTTTTCCCTAATTGATGTGCATTGACTAATTCAACTGACACTTTCTGTTTTATCTATTTTGCCTTTTACCCATTAATACACAGCACATATCATGCACAGCTGTTTTTCTTTCCTTGGTCCCAGGCACACACCAGGGTGACCCTGACCCTCAGAGCTGGCTGTGCAGGAGCCTCCCGGAAGTGGACACATCTGAGCTTTAGTCACTTCGAAGCTGTTAGCGATGAACGACGACAGCACGTAGGCTAACGGTGGGGCTGGCTGGCGAGTGTGCGGGCTGCCCCCTTCCTGTGTTTCCTTTCTTCTTTTCTGTCTTTCTACTCTCTCTAGGAGTTCTCCCTCAAAACTCAACGGCTTCATCTTCTTGACTTCTTCAATTGGGTCACGGGGGCGTCTGTCTGTCTGTCTGTTTCCAAGTCACGCTCACCTGCTTGAGCTTGCTCCTAACGGGGAACACGGTCAGAGGCAGCATGGTCACCCTAACCGAGAGTGGATTTAACTGCTGACCTTTCCAGATCATGTCTGGAGCCAGGAAACACTGCAGGGTCTTCAGAAAGCACTGGGTGTGTCGTTCACAGAGGCCTTGGGGGTTCAAGCAGCACAGCTGTCCCTCCTGTCCCCACTACCAGGACCAGGCTCCACGGAGCCTCTCTCCCACACATCCGTCATGTGCAGAAGGAGCAAGAGCGGCCGAAATGACCCCATCTGTGCTCTGGGAGGCGGGCATTTGTAGCAAGAGGCTAATTTAGACCTACACCATGTGATTATCTTGACTGATGCTATTCAAGTAGTCCAAACACACACTGAACTTATCCTCAACTCTCCAGCTCAAAGGGAAAACAGGCTTATATGGCTCTATCTATCTCAGTACAAAAGTTCCACTCAACTCCCGTGTTTGTCTACATGGAGCCCCGGAGGCTGTCAAAATTAAGAATTTGAGGGAAGACCTGGGTGTGGAAACACACATTCCATCACATTTAACTACAAGGTTTTACATAAGCTAAACTATCTCTGTTCCTTTTTCACATAGGTGCTTGGCTATTTAAATGCAAGCTGCTGAATCACTCGCATATTATTAGTGTTTTATTTGCATCTATTTTCTCCGTTTTTACTTGCCTAGTAGCAGACATCTTTAATGACTCAGTATTTTTCTGAAATTTTTCTCCCAGTGGATCCTAAAATCTTAAGACTTACAAGTGCAACGTCCTTTTCACAATTTATGCAGTTACTTTTCGGTATTCCCATTACAGTATTTCGAAAGCCTAGTAGATCTCAGGTGTTCCTTTTCTCTTAGGTTTATATATTCACACATATATTTAACAATTTTATAAATCATATGGGTTATTTTACTACTTTCTGAAATTATTTTATAAATGTAAACTTCATTGGGGAAAAGATTAATATAAGACTCAAAACTTACACTTGAAAAGTCAATATGAAAATGATTCTTTTCTCAGGTGCTGCATCATTGCTGAACTTGCCTTACTCTGTACATTTTAGATAATTATGCAGTAAGGCTTTGAACTTCACCGATGTCACAAACATTTGCACTGCACATTTTGTAGTGCATGTAGATAAAGAACTGGTTAGATTTTATAAAAATCTGCATATAATAATTTTCTACTTGGAACTGTAATTGGTTTCATTCCTCTTAGTTTGTGCTGTTTTACTGCCACCCTGTGGGAAAGCCAACAAACTAACTCTAAAATTTCAGAGGCTGAAACCCACAGAGATAATAGCTATTCCAACTTTACTGATGTTTTCTCCTTCTTTAAATTTAAAATTCTTCTTTAGTCATAATTTTGGAGAAATAGGAAAATAAAGAGATACCTGGAAGTATGCATAATTTTAAATTTAAGACTTTTGATTCTCAAAGATATGTATTTGTAGAGTTATCTTATTAGTGTACTTGCAACTTGGAAAGAGACCACTTGCATACGTACGAAACAACTCAAAATTGTAAACAGGGAGTCACAAAAGCTAAATATTTCATCAGAACTTTCAAGTCGGCATATTACTTACTAATATGTCTCTTTCATGGAAAACTCAACTGTTGCGGAGGAAAACGGTTTCACCCATGTCTAGTAGCACATTTGAAATACACATCAGGTTCATGTGACAAATATACCCTGGAAATCTTCCACGTGCAATGTTCCTAGGAAACCAGCTAAACGTTGCTGAACTATCCTGTATGACTTTAAGTAGGTTCTTCTTTCAAAATGTTTGCTTCTGTGAAATTTTCGTCATAAGGTCACACGAGACAAGCACAGTAATAAATGGCTTTCATAGATATTTCCATGTGTGAGGAAACAGCAGAGACTAAATGTCGGATTGGGTTGAAGTAGATCCAAGAGTGCACAATTTAGCACCGAGTGTGGTACCTCCTGCACAAATGGAAACACTAAATTCAGCAAAAAGGGTCAAGTTGGATGGGTGCTCTCCACTTTCCAGAGGGACTGAGGACAGGGTCTGCCGTCACCCAGCAGGGAGCTGTTCATTACCACATGCAGGAGGAAGAACGGAGCCCAAACTGGACTAGACTCCTCTTTCACTGCATCAGTTCAGCTCTTTCATTATTTTTGTATCATAGTAAATTTCTAATGTTTATATTTTGTAGGCATGCTCACTGGAAAGAATACAATTCTCAGGCAAATATTAAGTATATTCATACACTTATATTATTTACATCTTGTATTACTTCTATAGGATACAAAAATTCTTGGAATTCTTGACTCATGCTTATAAGCATATTCTTTAAGGTAATAGTAATCCAGGAAGCAGATTTAATACAATTAGACACAAATTAAGAATCGGTCTTTATTACTAGTTGTAAACTTACATAACTTTACCTTCAGATGTTTGGAAAAAGTAAATTTTTCTCTTAAAGTATTCAAACCCGATGACTACCCTGGCCTGCCTGATTGGAGAAAACTTAATTAACAGCAAATTTGAATATTTGAAATGCATTACTGATTGGTTCCTCATAGATCACTAGTTTCTAACTTTATCCTATGGTTCTGAATTCTGTTAGTCTGTCTTTTGTCTTGTTTGTTGAAGACTAAAACACTTTTCCTCAATGAAGAGTTGTCCAAAGCCACAGGTCAGCCTTTTTAAAGGCCATAGAAATCTGTTTCCCGGCCGAACTGAGTTACTGGAAACTGTCACCTCCCAATTATCAGCTATCCAGAGTTCACGTTTAATTTACAATAGGCAGATCTCCAAAGTATAATGGAATTAGTCTATGAGGAAATGAAGCCAATAAAACTAAAATAAAAACTTCAGCTATCGAAACATGCTAGAAAAATGATGTCAGAGATGGGCTTTCATTAATGTACTCTGTGTACTAAAAGTTTTGGTATTGAGCCTATCAAAATACTAGACTGGACTGAGTATTTTAGGAGAAAATTCCACAGTGGTTTCCATAATTCACAAACATACAGAAACCCAAAGCGTTTGAATAGCTCAGGCCTCTAGTTTCATAGCAGTATTCAACAAATAAAAGTGTTCACAGTCAGCTTCTCCACTTAATTTATTTTCTGCAGCCCAGTGATCCGAAAGGTGGGTGTAGCCCCCAAAGCTCTGATGTCCCATCTTGGCCCGAGGAAGCTGTGAGGAGCAGACCCTGCAGACCCAGGAGGGACAAGTCCTGCTTTCTGCTGGGGGGAAGACTTCCCGTAGACAAATGCTAATTAGCATGGCCCAAGGCTGTCCGGGAGGAAGACCCACAGACACATGCCAGCCAGGCACACGCTGGATGAAGTTGTGAAATTCAGGCCAGAGATTATTTTATTTGCATTCTTGACTCTGTCACTTAATAGCTGTTGACTTTCAATAAGTTATCTAACTTCCCCAAGTTTGACTTGTATATTTCCAAAATACGGGCAATGACAATGAGAACTGTGTCAACGTTTTTATGATATGAGTATTTCAGTTGTGAGTAAAATAATAGATGTAAAACATTTATATCACATGGAAACATAAGCTCCATAAATATCAGCTATGATAATGAAGGTGAGAACAAAGACTAAAATATTGTCTTCTTACATCAAAATACCAGAATTCAGTGAGGTGACATTTTCCATTAGTGGGACACTAATCTTTCGCTGAGAATGCCTTGCTAGAGGATGAACTTGGTGTTTTTGTTTGTTTGGAACAACTTTGGATCCCTTTATTCTGTTTAGCAATAAACCCTACTATTAGAAGGCAACGTGTTCTAAATGTCAGGTACCTACACAGGTTTATCTATTTGAAGTTCCCAAGAGACTGACAAGAATAAGGATTTCTATTGACAGTTATAATAAATTACGCTTGCATTATCAGACCATAGGGAAGCAATTTCAGGTTCCTTCTTTCTCCATATACATCTGTAATACTTAATGAAGGAGGAACAGGCTGCGGCAGAGGTGGTGAACCCATGGCACGCACAGCGGGCACCCAGAGCCCGCTGTGTCAGCAGGAAGCCAAG